ATGGGAATAGGTTGGGTGCAACTAGATAACGACCAAATCATCAACCAATTCTCAGCCAAAATCCTCAACTGGCCCTCCTTATACAAGGCCGAGCTCATTGCAATTTTATCTGCCATCCCTACAGTACCTCGTAATGCCAGAGTTGATATATATACCGATTCTCAGTCAATCATATTCAAATACAATAAACTTTTAGGCACCTCGACCAAATCCTCTAAGTACTTTAAATTCAAAACAAACGTTCGTTTTGCAAAAAAAAACCAAGAAATGCTTATTTCTCAAAAATTGCATAAGAAATCACCTTTTGTGCATTAACAAAAAGTTTTCCTTGAGCGATTTTACTACTAAAAACTCTCAAAACCCTAACCTTAGCACAGACCCTAACCCTAACCTAAACGAACTTAAAGATTTTCGACACGATCACGTGACAGTAAAATTTTTATGGCGATACTGGGGAAGACCGTGTGATTGGCAGATCTATGCGTGACCGTGCATAACAAATGACCAATAAAACCGCCGATTAATTTATATTGTTTCGGTATTAAACAAAAGTTTTTTTTACATATGGTTTTCTTAATAAAAATTTGAGATGTTAATAATTTTTTCTTATACCAGATAGTATTCTATTCATAGAGTACGTACAAATAAAAATCCACTAAAAATTATTAGTAAATTTAGAAATAATTATATAAAGCTTTTATTGTTTCTTTCTCATAATCTAATAATTGTTATTAATTTTTATCTAGTGTACGTACGTACGTACGTACAAAGTCTTGCACCAAACTATATTACTATATACAGTATATTTTCAATAGCTTATTGTAAAAATGCATGCTTACCAATAATGAAGATGCAGTGTAATAGGGTATTTCAGTATTTGCGATAAAAAAGAAACATATTCGTTGAATATCCAATATTTGATTCGGTGAAACGATTGTGTATCCGGATATCGGGTATTTAATGAATATATCCGAGAGTTTTATTACAAATATATAGCTTTTAAATATGAAAGGTACGTATGTATAATATTAAAATCTTAAATAGGTAATAATTAAAGTTACATATGCAGATATTTAAACTCTTTATCTAAAGCATGTACGTAACAGTAGGTAATACCTATGTGTAAGGCCACTCTAAACACTAATAAAATCCTACCAGCAAAAAAATTTTGAGTAATCATACAATTTATTTGTTAAATGTAAATGCGTTAATTATAAATGGTAGGCATTTGGCACGCGGAAAGCCTCTATACGTAACAAAAATTTTTGCTTAGGGGTCGGAAGATAATAAATTTGCGTTACGACTTTCTTTGTCTTTCAAGTTTATTTTGGTTATACAAAAAGATAATATAATTCGATTTGTTTCGGAATAAAATTTAAGGTCCGGATTTACGGGACATTATACCATTATTACAATTGTATCATTACCATTATTACATGTGGATAATAAGTTAATTTTTTTCAATTTTTCTACGCGCCCGAGTAGTGTATAACTAAATATAGCGATAACGATTATGTTATCATAACAATTAAATTACGCATAAAATAAGAATTTACCTGTTTCCAAATTCTTTGATATCGATATATGGCGATAGTGTAAATTTCATATTTTTTATTTGGTTGTTCCACTGACGATCGTACGTTTCACTAATGTAGTAATCATAACGAAGCCTTTGAATTGCTTATATTTTTGATTTCTGTCTGTTCTTTCGAATTATACTTGCGATGAAGCAAAATAATAAAGGTACTTATCGTGTATATTAAAGTCTCTTTTAGTCCTAATTTACTTTTGTTAGCTATAGACTTCATATTTCTAACTTTGAACTTTATATTGCATGCACTTTTCTTCAAAGAAAAAATTTCACTCACGCCTATAACTTTTAGTAAATTATCGTTTAATAAATCTAACAAAAAATTTGGCAAACAACTTAGTCCAATATTATTTTCTGTTCCTGCACCGAACGCAGAAAAGCCACCCTTTTTAGAGTATTCCCCAGATTCTCAGCTTCCTGTTTCCCCTTTATATGACAATAATAATGAGGGGGAACGCCCTGCTCTTCCCAAATCACATTCGGCAACAGATCTCAGAACACAAGTGAGAGGGAGAATTTTTCGTTCTTTCTCTCAAACGAGCGTTCCTGGTACCTCTACAAGTCATTACTTGAATAGGTTGTCAAATTCTTCTTCTGGTGGAAGTTCAAAGGTTTCTACCTTAGCTATCGCGCGTAAACATAGTTTACCACCAACAGCTGATCTTTTTCAAAATGAACTAGACAGACCATATATGACTTTTGCTGAATTTAAAAGAATGGATCAACATCCTCGGCAGCAAAGAGCAATTTTAACTGCTTTGCAACGACAGGATAATAAACTGAGAAAAGAAGGTGTTATAAAAGATACGAGTAGTAAAACTTTAAAAGGAAAAAAAGGTATGAATTATTAGATTTATTATATAATACACTTATTGAATTCTATGTTTATTCTAATGATAATTTAACAATATTTTAATAGATCGAAAGCTTTCAAAAACCAAAGAATCGAGGTCTTTGTCCATTGTTAGGCGGGGTTCTTCTGGTGCTAGCGCACTAAAGTTTCTTGGTATAAAAAAGGGCAAGAAAAGAACTACTTCTGGTAAATTATCATTTTTTATAATTTTTATTTTGTTTACGACTGATTGAATTTATTTGAATTATCAGATTTAAAAAAAAACAATTTTTTTTTTTCTTCTATTTTCACACAAAAGTTTTATTACACAATCTTATATTGGCCATTAGGGATAATAAAATTTCAGATGCATTAACAATACTTTCACATATACCTAATAGTTCTTTTAATTCTTTAAAAAAGAAAAAATCTGTTGAAGCCAATCGTGCTTTTTTGATGGCTATTGCTAATCGAATGGAAGATGTTGCATTGGCAATGTATGAACGAGGCTTTCCAGTTGATGTAAATTCACCAATTTTTGTAAAAAATGCGGATCGTGGAGGGATAAAGTTTCCAAGCTATTTTATCTTGGCTGTTGCTCTAGGATTGAATGAGCTTGTTAAAGCAATGGTGAAGGTAATTCATTATTTTATTTTATTTTAAATATATACATATATTTTTACTTTAATAATCCATATATATATATATATAATTATTCGTTTTAAAGCGAGCTAACGTGAATCAGACGTGGTTTGGTCTCTCACCATTAATACTTGCTGTATCTCAGGCAACTATAGCATATTCATCTACGGGTTTAAAGTCAAAGTCCAGGACTACTTTACTTATCAAGCTTTTATTGGAAAATGGCGCAGATCCGTCACAAGGTTTACCATTAGAACAATTTAATACATTAAGAAAATTAAAGGCAAAGCAATATATGAGAAGGTTGAACATTTTACATTCACTCAAGTCTGATGAGGTTCCAAGTGAATCAGGTAGACTTGATTCCATTCCTCAACAGTATGGTAGTGTAACCTGGGATTCGAAACAAAAAAGAAAAGAAATGGAAAAATTTTCGAAAGTAAAGTGGGTATTTCCATTAGATATTGCTTCAGTAGCTGGTAATCTTGAAATTATCAGGGTGTTACTATCTAGGTTCGTTAACTTAAAGTTATCCTGATTTATTCTGTATAAAAAAATTTTATTATATAATATAATAATTTTAATTATAGGATGGATACATCAAGTATTACAATCAGGGCTACCGAATGATTGATTGTGAAGGCAATTAATTGCAATTACTTGATCTCAATTAATTGATCGGTGACGTACCCACAATTAAACAATTAATTGCAATTTTTGCCGCAGTTTGTAAATGTGATCTCGACGTCAAAATTATAGGCAAAAAAAAAAGTTTAATATCCCTTAATCTGTATTCCAGGCAAATTTTTTTCCTGGAATTTTGAAAAGTATTTACAATTTTTTAAATAAAATTAAAAATTATTAATAATATGGGGTATATCTTATATATATATAATGTGGTGGATTATGCTGAAATTGGATCATGCCGAAATGCCGGCCCGAATTATAAAAAATTTTTGGGCCAGTTGACCCGAATTATGATTTATTTTTATATGTGAAATTTTTTAAAATTTGGTCCATTTTTGTAAAATATATAGTACAATTTTTTTAGGGTTAGGGTTAGGACCCCGTTAGGGTTTAGAGAGTATTTTTAATTAAATATTTTTTATATAGCTTATATAACATTTTAGCATAATTTTTCACGATAATTTTTTTAGTTAAAAATATTTTCTAAATTTGTCTATTTTTAGCTTATAAGCAATCTAACGTTTTTTTTATAATATAAAATTAAATACTACTATAATATAATTTTTATTTTCAAATATTATTAAAACAAATTTTTATTTAATTTTAAAAAAAATAAATTACTGTATAAGCAAATTTATAGTAATTTTAGATAAATTTGTCTAGAATTATCTACAGTTTAAGAGATATGATTTAATAATATTAATAATAAAAAAGCTTATGATTAGATAAATAAAAAAAAACTTATATAATTAAAAAAAGAACTTATATGCTTAGATAAAAAAATTAAGCTATTAATTTTTTTTTTTTTTTAAAAAAAACACATACTAAAATAGCACTAAGTTTTTATTTTAAATTGATTACAACGAATACAAAAGTTTTGAATAAATATTATATAGAGGCTTTTTTTTAATCTACAACAAATAATAGCAAATATTACTGTGATTTCTGTTCTTCTAACTTTATCTTGTATACTAGTCTTTTAAAATTAGTAGTTCTATAGTTGGCAAGTATCTAAGTAGTTTAGCTAATATTGTATAAGAAAGAGTAAAAAACATTTTGCTAAAAAAATTAAAATTATATTTAATAGATAAACAAATAATAATATTTACTTTGTTGGGATATTCAAGATTATATAATTTATTTGTACTTTTTTAAGAGGTAAGCTAGATTAGCCACTTTTCTAAAAGTATGTTATATAAATTAAACTGTGTTGGTATTAATTTTTTTTTGTATATAGAATGTTGAAAGATCATGGCTATTGTTATCTATTATATAATGATAACTGATAAGTTAGCTATTATAAGTAGCAAAAGAATTGTGGCGTTTTGTAGGTTTGTGCTCTGGAATTTTCTTTTTGTTGTATTAACAAGGGTAGGTATAGTGCTTGTCAGGCTAGAGCAAACGTTTTGCTTATTATTAAATGTAGCTTTGTGCAGTTTCGATGATCAGCGGGAAGAGTTTTTTTAAAAGGATATTTATTACTATTACACAGCATTCAAACGATTTTTATCTAAGCACTAAATAACTAAATATGATAGTTTTTTGGTATCACTGTATTGACCAGTCCATACGCAATGACCTAATGACCTAATGACCTAAATAATCTGGTCGTTATTTAATGACTTGAATTTTGACAAATGACTACTCCGATACTTTAAGTTCTACGGCATCACTATTAATAACTCAAATGACCTCAAATGAACCCAGTAAATGACCAGGGTCATTTAAAAAATTTTCAAACGACCAGGTCATTTACCGTACCATTTTACTATAATACCCTCGAATACAATTCAGGGGCCAACGATTTCAAAAATTGAAAAAAGGCGCAGGTATTACTTATTGTCGCGAAATAACGCACACCTACGCGAGTTTGAATATATGCACGTTATTTAAAGTACGTACATGGGTAAAGATGCTGGTAAGATAAAATTAGAGTGGTGAAATTAATTTCACTAGCATCTTTACATACGAGCGTTATTTTAAGCAATATAAAAATTTTTTACAGTCAAATCTCTATATATGCACTCCTTTTAAGGCTGACTATAAGTGTGCGTTATTAAGGTTTATAAGTGTCATCAGCAGTTGGAACTGAAGCATTTATAGAGCGTGCATATATGAAAGTTTGATTGTATTTATTAAGAATTTTCTTTTTAAAGTTTCACTAATTAAGTATTTTATTCGTATTTTATTATTTTTTATTTTTTATTTTAACGTTTTATTCATTAATTTATATTATTTTAATTTAAACAAGCTTTTTTATTTAACTTTTAATTATTCAAACCGTCTAAAATATTTTTAACAATTAACCGTTAAATTGTTAAACCAGCTGGCTTTAATATTATTTTTCAAAAATTTTAAACATCATTCAGCTTAAAACTATGGGGCAATTTTTGTGCTGTTAAATGATTTCAATCCTTAATTAAATCTGCTTACCTTTAATACTGTATCTTAAATTTTAGCATATATTTTTTCGGAATTATGATGATTCATCTTTCGGAATCATAATGATTATTATAATGAAGATAACTCGACACATCGTAAATTGCATAGTGATCACACCATCTTGAGATTCTTCTAACAAAACGATCCTTCGGGACTATAGGATGTTCTCAAGCAACTCACTCGATATGATTTGCTAGTGATCGAGATGCTGCTCATTAATCATTTTGATTAATTAAAATTACGAATTTAAATCCAGCCAATCAGAGTAACTATGATGGTTGTTAAGGGCGCCTTGTTCTTAATCAATTGATTATGTAAACAATAATCATGATAACGCTAATTAATTAGCATCTCTTTCTATTTTTAGTAATCTTCGCTATTCCACTTAAAAAAGCCAATTAAAAGATTTTTTTTCGACCAACTGCTGAAACTTCAGCTTTAGCTGCATCCGGCTCCTCTTTAATGATTTTGCCAATTTAAACTTTTTGTTATAACTTCATTATTCATCAAATATGGAAAAACATCTACCCAAAACTCACTGAAAAGCTTTTAAATTTAAATGAGTGAAAACCGGAATAATAGTATTCATTTAAACATTAAAAAATGTGTTGTATTTATTACATTAGAATCAAAGTATCGATTATTTGTTTTAAAGCTTCTAGCATTAAAAATGAAATAATTTTTTTTGGCTCGGGTAGAAATTTATTGGGAATTCATTGTTATGTTTGATATGTAAAAAAAATGTTAAAGTAATGCTTGAGCGCCCTGTATAAATGGTAAATTTTTGAAGAAAAAAGATGGGTTGTGTCTCACTGATTTGTTCATCAAAATGGTAATTAATCCGTTCCATTGAATGAGGTGCTTGAGAACACCCTTAATCAATGGTAAAATTTTAATTAGTAGAAAGCATTTTAACCGATCAAACGTTCTTCTTGTCATTAAGGGTGTTCTCAAGCACCTACATCAATGGACTTAATAACGAATATGATTGGTCAGTTTAATCAAACTAGCCAATCAGAATTCATTGAGGTGGGTGCTTGAGAACGCCCTAAGATAAATAAGAAACAGAGCGCTTTCAAAAGCATTTTACTCAATGTGATTGGCTAGTTATCGAGATCGTGCAAACAAGTGGTATGCTGATATTAATTTTAGCCAATCGGCACAACTCTTTGATAGATTGGCCTCGACCATCTTTTTTCATCGCGATAATGAACTCGCTTGACCGGCTAAACTATCTCTTAGTTTATTACTCCAAGAAAAAATTTTAAAAAGTAAAAACGACCAGTGAATTTATCATTCAACAAACTTTTTTACCCAACCTAACTTTTTTATTAAAATTAGCATATCAAAACTATTAAAGTAATTGAAGTTATTGTTCAAGCATTTTTATTTATCATTCTGATTTTTTTACTATTATACGTATAATCGCTCAAACACTGATTGAGGTCTTTACTTTGATCTATCGTAGTAATTGAGTATCATTACAATTATCAAATCATGATATCAACATTCTTACCATTGATTTCGATCTAGATGCTATGAGAACAGCTAAATTACGTAAAATGCCTGTGCGCTATTTCGATCACTAGAGAAAATAGTATCTAGCTTGATGCTTAAGAACACCCTAAGTCCTTTATGACCGAAATGATTAAACGTGATCTATTTTTTGGACAGTCAAGATCATTTTCTTAGCCATAGAGAGAGGCGCTTGAGAACAAGATAAAATTTTGCCTCGATCCATTTGAGTAGATGCTTGAGACCACATAATTAAAAATGTAAATATAATGTTTTATTATAAAAAGTTACACAATCTTCAATCGTGATTGGCTAAAAATTTTGTATTAGTTAATTTCACGTGTAAATCTACAAAATCTAACCAATCAACGCCGAATAAATAAAGTGACATATGATCGCAGTATCGCAACTTTTTTACACTTCTCTTTTCTGTTCAAATACGAGAATGGCAACCAAATTAAACGAAAAAAAAGTGACAACCATGCCTCCCGAGATTGAGGCTTTAAGGTTAGCCGCACTTTCAACGAGGAATCCTCGAAAAGAAAAATCAAAAGCGGAAGAGAACGATTTTCCTGTTGCAAATGTATCCACTTCTTCAAATTCACCTAATCTACAGCCAACATCTGTGAATCAAGCTACTGTTGAGGACGTCATGGTTGAAGACGGCAACCGTTCCGAAAGGGAAGAGGGTGAATTAAGCGATTCTGATTCAATAAACGGTTGCAATGAACCTATTAAAGAAAGTGGTTTTCAGCATAGAAGTGAGGAAACCGTTGCTAACGTCGTACATCAACAACAATCCTATCAACAGGCTTATTTAGGTATGTATTTAAATTTATATAAGCAAGAGGTTAGCGAAAATATTTTAAAGAATTCATGATTTCAAGTATGGTATTTTTTTTTTTTTGACAAAGGTTCGATATTAATTTCCTGAAATATTTATTTTCGGGAATAGTCTTTATATGATGGCTTTGATCTGTATCATAGACTTTGGAATGTTGTCAGATCAAATAATTTCCTACTCAACTTATTAATAAGACTATCCACAAAAAATTCTACATATCATATTCTCATTAAATGTTTGCATCAAAAAATTTTCAAATATATCCATTTATTCTTTTTACAAATCTAGATACAAAATATGCTGAAGAAGATTTAACGAGGAAATTATTATCTGACTTATACCGGTTGTCTGCCACACCCGATGACATAATTGAAGCTGGAATTCCTGTGGATGTTGTTATCAGATTTTCTCGGGAAATAAATTATCCGTTACCTCCACATCTTGCTGTATTTAGTATCCCCGTTCGTAAACCATTAACACCCGCAGATGTACCTTCTCATGAAAATGCGAGTTCGAATATGATGATTAATTCAACATCATCTCCATTTCAACAAAATAAGTCATTTCCTACTTCTATTCCTTTGGTCTCTAACGACCAAAGTGTTTATCCTCCAACAACGTATCCGATTGATCAAAATACAACATTCTATTCACAATTAACATCATTACAACGAGATCAACCTGTTGAATCCACAATGCCTGGATTCTCTTCTGTACAGTATTCGACGGCGCAACCGTCAATAGTTACGTCTTCCTCATCACCTAAAGAAGCTTATGCTTCAAGAATATCATTAAATCCAAGCATTAATATCGTTAATTCAACTCAACTTCCAACTTCTTCACCGCCGAAACCACAGAGTAATTCAATCATTCCAAATAATCAAAAGCCATTCTTGGCCCCTCGTGAGACAAATTTAGTTATCGAATTAAGCGATGAATCTGACAATGAACGTAGTATTACTGGATTAATTAAACAAGTTAAAAAGGACATTTTTCCTGATTCTAAATTAGAAACTGAAGATGAAAATAAAGCACAACCAGATGCAAAAAAAAAATTGGAGGAAAAGGAACGTGAGATTAAGCGCATGAATGAATTGATTGCAAGTAAGATGGAGAGCCTAAAGAAAAATAAGGTTGGACCGAGTTCTAATGTTACTACATTACAAGATAAAGTTAGTTCAAACTCCAGTGTTACAAACGCTAAAGCACAAGTGGGTCCTAGCCGAGGCAATTCCCCTCCTCCAGACATTGCAACGATTAGAGCAGAATTAGAAATATTTGAGACTGCAAAAGCCAATCTTAACGAAATACGATCTAAGATTGAAGCTGAGGAAAGAGAACTCTCCGAAGTTCGATCTCGTATTAAAGATCAAGAACGACTCGAAAGCGATTACGAAAAAATTCATTCTAATTTTAATACACAACGTGAAGAGTTAGTAAACAGTCGGAATGCGTTAGAAGCCAGAAAAGCGTTGATCGAATCACAACTCACTGATATTAATCGTCAAATAGAAGATAGTAATTCATCAATTCTTAGTAAAGAGACAGAGATAAAAGATGCTTTAAGTGAAAAAGCTAAATTCATGACGAGAAAAACAGAATTGGTTAGCAATGAGAAGACTGTATCTGAAAATATGATACAACTTAAGAAACAACTTTCATCTGTTCATAAAACAATAGTAGCTAAAAAAGAATTACTCTTAAAATTAGTTAAGCCTAAAAATGAGGCAGGATCATCTACTACTAATCGTTCAGAGTCAATTTCCACTGGTAAACGCACTGTATCTCCTGAAGATGCTACCCCAAGAGCCGTAACTAAGAAAGCGAAACTAACATCGAGCGTATCCGGGGATGAAGTCGCACAATTGTCCAAGCGAATGGAAAAGGTTAGCAAAGAACATCAAGAATTGTTACAAAGTTTGACTTTGTTAAATAAGCGTAAGGGGAAAAAGGTCGTTACTTCATCGACCTCCAATGCAAATGCATCTGAGGCTGATGCTGAAATATTATATAGTAATAACGGTTCGCCGTCCGATTCCGCCAAAAGTAATGTTAAAGAACATGAATCCCTAAATATAGAAAATACTGAATTAATGGATGTTAGCGATTCATATACGAAAAGTGCTGATGTGAGCTCGCTTCTTTTACGGTTTTATTTATATTTTTTCTCATTATCGCACTTATATGTTAATTCATTGATCTATTTCTAGACTCAACAACAAGTACAGGACGATTCATCATTTATACCCTATGAAAGTGTACTTAAAGGATTTAGATCATATAGATTTCATCCTCGTTATAAACAAGAAATAGGAAAACATGGTTATAAATTAATTATGTATAGTCGTAATTATAATGTTTATCGTAAAATGTGTGTTTTTGAGTCCCAAAATCGCGGTCGTTGTAATGATGATGCATGCACTTCACAACATTGGCGAGACTTTCCGATGAGCGGTAAATTAATATCAATGATGATGATAATTCTTTCCGCTAAAAATTAATTGAATTTTCTTAATTTGTTATTAATTATTTAGATGAAGAGTTAATTTCTGACATGGCTTCATATTATGAAGGGCGTACTCCAATTGAACAACAGGAATATCGTTCCGGTTTAGAATTATTAATTAACAAACTTCGTGCGGAAGGAAAAACTAATGTTGATGAAATTATTGATGCTATTGTAATTTATCGACAACAGTTTATTTCTAATAATCCTTTTGACAATTTTGACGCTCCTCGCATAGTATTCTTTAATAAGAAAAAACCGTTAGGCCAAGCAATTGATAATGAAGAAGCATCATCAGCTTATGATACTGGTTATGTTTCTGAATCTTTGCCTACTCCAGAAATTTCAGAGAACGAACAAGTTATGTATCAGTCAGATGAAGATTCAGAAAGTGATGATAATAATCATATTTCACAGGATTCATCTGAATTAAGTTCTGAGCACGAAGGTAGTGATAGTGATGAATCTCAAGTTCAAGATGGAAGCGCTATGATACAGGATGAGCAAATGTATGTAGATGGTGAATCTCCTTTTTCACCATTACATATTGGATCACCCTCTTCCCAACATGGTGAAGAGACTCCAGAGTCACAAAGCACTCAAACCAATAATGAATCATTCACTGGATTTAGTGTTATGGGCGCCATATATAACTGGTTTAGATAAATAACTAGATTATTTAATACTATTACTTGATCTGCTATGCCTATTATCGAAAATAATTTGCGAGAATTGTAATAATAACATTATGCATCTCGATTTCTCTTTTTGAAAAACATTAAGACCATTCCATTTTTAAAAAAAATTAAGCATTTTTTACATTGTAATAAAATCAAAAAGAAAAACAAAAAAATTATATATAAGAATTTATTAATGTTTTATGACAAAATTTTTTAACCTATATTATTCGTATAAATGACTGTTTTTTGTGTTGCGACTATTATATTTCCAATTGTTGGAAATCTACATAATTTATTTATATGATTGAATTTATACTGTCTTTACGTTTATCAAGTTTTTACAGAAAAATAAACATATTCTTTTTTAGTGTTGAATCTTTGTTTATTACGTTAACGGTGACCAATCAAATTATAATCTCAAAGACCTTGCTTGCTAGAATAGCCCGTTCGCAATTTCTGTGCAACGTATTAAGAATAATAATTGAACTATAACATTAGTGTTATCTTTAGAGTTAGAATTAGGGTTTTTAATAAAAAATTTTTAGTTAATATAATGTTGGCCAAAATTACAAAATTCTCGTTCCGATTCCTGAATCGGGACTATTCTAATCCAGGGTAAAACATATATATATATATACGTGTATATCATTATTATAAAACGCACTTATGGTGGTTTTGCGTCTACTATTTGTTTTATATGCTTTTATAAGTTTTTGTATATAAAATCTTAAGCATAAAATTTTCATGATGGGCTAGTATTTATTAGAATTAAGGTTTGGGAAGGGTTTTTTGGGGCGTAGAGTATTTTTACTTAAAGCTACTAACCAATTAGCCAATTTTAAGATAATGCAACGTAAGTGGTAAACTACCATAGATGCGTTTTAGTTAAGTGTACATACAATAATATATTTTAATTTTTATACCACCAAAACAGTGTACTTGCACAAATGTATTTTGTGCAACTTTTTTAAAAAGCTTTACTTGCACACTTAAGAGATTTTTTAAAAATCCCAAAAAATCCCAAAAAACACTTGCACATGTGCATCTTGTGCAAGCCAATTTTAAATCCCGCCCCAAAAATACGCGTTCTGAAATAATGTAACAATATCTGTGGATGTATAACATAATAACATCATTGACCCCTTTACTTCAAAATAACGCACATAAGTGTATTCTGAATAACGCGAAAGAATGGTAAATAAAATTTTGGGAATACCCTATAAGTTTAAATTTCCCCATTTGGGGGACGTCTAAAGCGGAGTAGATTCTTATATATATATTTTATCGAATTAACTTTAGGGTTATGGTCATCTTGGATTATGGTCAGAGCAGGCTTTAGATAGTTATATAATTGCCTTCCCGACATTTTTACTTAGCTTACCCAAGGTAGGTTTAGACTGCTATTTTTTGTATTTTCAAGTTTTTCGCTTTTTTTTCTTGGTTTGCTTCGTCGGCGATCATCAAAATTCTATAATTTGATTGGCCGTGTATCACGTGATTCTGCTCCGGTTTAAAAAAGGGGATTGCTTTTTCCACAACAGATTTTGCTATTTTCACAATTGTTACATGAGATTTTCTATTTTAGATAATAATATATTAAAAAACTCATAACCCTAACTTTAGCTTTAAGTTTTAATATTATTCTAACCCTAACCCTGAAACTAACAAGTAAACCTTCTAAGTAAAGTTGTAGAGGAGATTTTTCTGGTTCTAATGGTAGTTAGATCATTAAAATCGACCTGGTGGGTTTCAAGATATTTGGGGTTAAAGATGTAAATAATCTAACTACTATTAGAACTAGAAAAATCTTCTCTACAATTTTGCTTAGAGCTGGAAGAAAGGTTTACTTGTTAGTTTTAGGGTTAGGATTAGAATTAAAGAATTATAATATTAAAACTTAAAGTTAGGGTTATAAGTTTTTTATATTATTGTCTAAAAATAGAAAATATTGTGTAACAATTGTGGAAATAGCAAATTATCATTGTGGAAATAGCAATTCCCTTAAAAAAATACAATAGAAGCAGCATCCAAATTTTTTTTAAACCTTTGAATTCTACAAATTCAGATATAAAAAGTTTACCATATTTGCGCATTATTTCGGGACGGCATGCGCGGTAATTCGAATCATTTTGACAAATTTGGGTTACAAGAGGAAGCCCTACTTTTATTAATGAACTTAGGCTAAAAAATTCGATCAAATATAATATGGTATATTTAAGGGGGCACATTATTTTGGGATGCACATGGGCGTTGGGGTGTTTGGTTGGCTGATTAAATCAAACATATTTGTAGACCCATAGTAGATTTGTATAGTGAATTTTTTAAATAATACGATTGGCTAATTTTGATAATCACTTACATAATAATAGCGTAATAACAGATAATCACTTATTATACATTTAACAATAACATATCTGATATATAACAAAACTTTTATTGAAATATTTTATTCAATGTCTCCAACGCATTTTGTGTACCAAAACCCTCCTCTTCCTCTACGTAGGTCTCCTTTTCTTTTTTATTATTTCGTCAAATATCAATGATCCCATTTTTAATGTCCTCTTTTGAAAAATTTATTCCAGAAGAAAGCCGTAATTTAGATTCTTTGAGATTTGGTAACATGTTGGGATGAGTTTTTAGATCCAACTTGTTAAACATACCCTTAACCTGCTGCTGATACACTATTATATAATAAATTTTAGTTGTCATGAACTCATAAAGCAGCAGGTAATCAGATAAGTTAGGATTTGACGCATTACAAAAATCATCAAATTGTACACGAAAATTTGAATCTGAAATAAAGAGTGTTTTCAATTCAAAGTCATCTGAAATATTGTTTTTAACATCATTTTCAAGTTGTTGCATATAGGTTATTTCTCGTTTGGATGGCTGAAGAATTGTTGGAATATTTAAAATGACATGACGATAACTTCTTGCAAAAGAATGAACGAAATTTCCTCCTAGTCGACAGACTGATAAAGGTAATTTAATCCATTGAAGCATCCATTTTTAAAAGTGAATTATTGCCTTCTTCATGCCCTTTTCTAATGAATCAAATATATCTCCAAATTCCAATTCACTTAATAATTCAAGTGCTTCAAATAATTCATCAAAAAAAAATACATCAAAATTATTTGTCACCTCTGTTAAAAAGTTCAGCCATTCTAAAACTTTATCAGGCATTTCATGGGCACGTCGACCAGGAGGTAAAGTTATCCAGTTTTCACCATTGAAAACACAAGGTACAGGATCTTGGCCAATAAGGAATGTTATTAAGGGAATAAAAAAGTGTTGATCAAATTTTGTTAAACACTTTACTTGGATATTAAACTTCACATTATTAAGCCAGGTATGAAAGAGACACCAATCGTTCAAATAGGATGGTGCTGTATTAGGATAATTTTCTAATATTTTAATAAACCATTCCACAAATTGAAGATGTGATTCTTTTCTTTCTAAATACTGTTCAGCGGTATGTAATTCATATCTCCATCGAGTTTGTAATGGTATCTGGTATTGTGAATAACAATGTCCAAGAAGAGATTTATATAGAGCCTGAATATAATCACTTTTTATATTCATTGGCACATTACTATTTTTATTCCCATAGCCATCGTAAAGAGACCAAGCAAGATGTAGAAGATTAAAAGGATGAGGCTTTTTTGAAAAACCTGATATATGACCAAAGGCTTCGTTTTCAAAATTTGTAAAAACGATATTAATGATATGTATTGCACACCCGACTCGAGTTGATTTGAAATTTGTTAATCTATTAAATTTAACAATGGCTCCATTCAAATTTCCAGACATATACGCGGTGTTGTCAGTAAGCCATGTCATGCATTTTCGCATATCAAGTTGATATTTTTGGCAAGTATCGATAACTGAAGTTGCAATAGTATCTGCGTTACATTTTTTAATAATTTTTAAATTAACCATACTTGCTACTGGATAATTTTGTTCTTTATCCCAATACATGAAACAGATAACTAGATGTTTATCTTGACCACGGGTTGACTCATCTGCAGTAATGCCGAATGAATTTGATTGTTGAGCATGTTTAGCAAATTTAGAAGCTGCTAATTCTGAGATTTGCTTATGCCAAGTTGTAACTTGCTCTACTGAAAGCCAACTTTTTGGCAATTCGCTTGTTAAGAACTCATAAATTAATTTTGTACATTCTGTAGTTGCACGCATTGAAACCTGACCGACTTGAGTTATTTTGGTTGTAAGCCAAATCATATCTGAAGAGTAGTGATGATCATTTGATTTAAAAAGAGCCTTTACTTGTTTTTTAAACTCTTCTGATGATATTTGTTTAGACCTACGAACTAAGGAACGTATTTCAGATATTTGACGAGATATTTTTTGGCGAGTATGACGATTTTGAGATCCAAGGGATTTGGTTTTTATAATAAGAGCTTCATTTTTTTGTTTTAATTTTTAATTTTCTTTTTTTAAGATAGGATTCCTTATTTGGTGTCGATAAAAGGTGCTAGAAATTGTTTCAACCAGCTGCCATTGTAAATATTGGGATATAATTTTTCCCTCATTTTTTCCTCGTGGATATCTCATATTTTCTAGTAATTTTATTGCATCTTCTTTTTCGTCATCACTTAAATCTTGAATAAGTTCGATTAACTTTTCTTCTGGAAGGTTATTAGTATTTTTATCAAGGCATTGGAAAGTATTCTCTACACTTGTGATTTTTTTTGCCTTTTCGCGATTAGCCGTTAGTTGTATTATTTGACGTTGTTTCTTTGGATACTTGGGCATTTTAATTAAATGTGAAAAATTTCCTTGACACGAATTTTTTTAATAAAATTTATGAGATGTAATTTTTAAAAATAAAAAAATTTTTTATTAATATTTATAACCGTTTT